TCTGGATGATTGTCGGCTTTATTTCAAAGTTGTTGGCTTGCATCGGTGGCCTAGTTATACTTGGACCACTACCATCAACCAAGGGCATTGAGAATTCCCTCAATGTTCTGTTTTCCATAATCTTAATGACTATCGCCTCTCGTTCTCTTCTCTCTCTGTTAAGTCTTCTTGCTGTTCTTTCAATCTCTGGATCAATAGGAACCATTGGATGACATCTAGCTCTTCGCATAAACTACACATAAAGAAAAAGAGCGTGAGATCACAAGCAACCAGAAAAGAAACAACAAAATTAAACTAGAAACAATTAAAACTAAAATTAAACTCTAATCTAGCTAAAACCAAAAAAATTCAATATTAACAAAAAATCAATCCCCGGCAACGACGCCAAAAACTTGATGCATTGAATTTACAACATGCAATGTTTAGCAAGCGCACTAGTTGCAAAAAGTAATAAAGTGATAAGTAGAGTATCGTTCCTACAAGGATTGCTTGTTAAGCACTGATTTTCTTAGTATTGTATCAAGTTGGAGCAATGAAAAATGGTTGGATTTGCGGGAGACAATTAAGCTAAGATTAAAACAAAACTCACTACGTAATTTAAAATCTAAATAATGAAAACAATATTAATTCAAGAAAAATATCAATTAAGACAAAGCGGCTAGGGTTTTGACTTCACTAGGATTTTATGAATTAATCTACGAATTCTGTTACTTCTACATTCACATGCAAAGATTATAAATCGGACACCCTAACATGTAAAACATACCTTCTCAGGTTATGTTTTTTTACTTATCCCTATTAAGCTTCCGCACCCAACAAATTGAAGGTTAATAGTTCCAAGTCCGTTAAGCTAAATGGAATCCAAAATTGATTTCATTGATTCTCAAACCTATCTCTAGCGTCCAATAAATCAATGGCAATTACCCTAAGAAGCTAATACAATGATTCACTTCTCAGTCTCATCATGCTCAACAAGTAATTTCAATAAAAACAAGAGTAATTACACAATCCATGCAATAGAATGTAAAAGCAACATCAATTTATTGATTAGACATTAAAATCCCAATTACATCAAAACCCTAACCCAAGAGTGAGTTAGTTCATACTGAAATTAAAGCAAATCAAAATAAAAGCTGTAAACGAAGAATTCAACATGATGGAATAATGAAAAGAGAGTGAATCTTCCCTATTTGATGAACCCAAAACATCCAATCTTCAATTTCTCTCATCTTTTTCCAAAACAAAGTCGAACCCTTCTAAAATGACTAAGTCCCACTTATATAGTCGATCCCTCAACCCTAAGATTCTCTCAATACAATTAAAACGCACAGTTTTAATAACTGAAAATTGCAGACTTCACCGTGGCGAAGAAAGAACTTCGCCGTAGCATCGAGTTGGCTTCTAATTCACTATCTGACCCGAGAGATTATCGACGCGGTGAAGTTTTCTGAACTATTATGAAATTATGAAACTGCCATCCGCTTGCTTCCTTGCTTGAATCTTCAATCTTTAGTGATCTCCAATAGGAACAAGCTTCATAGTGCTTTGAATCCGCATCAGAACTTCCCTAAATCCTGAGATTCGCTTGCTTCTGGGTCCAAAAACTCAATTCCGCTCAATATTTGCTCTAACTACACATTTTGGCCTGAAACATAAAATATATGAAATTAAGTTGCAATTCAGGCACAAACGAAAGAAGAAGTATCCAAAATCCGGCCAAAAAGCCTAGATAAAACATTATAACCCTAGGATTATCAAAAATTGACCGAAAGGTCAAAGTCCTTAGGACTAATAATGGGTTAGAATTCTGCAATTTAGAGTTTGATAACTACTGGAGTGACTAGGGTATTCTAAGACATAGAACACTTAGGAAAACTCCTCAGCAAAATAGAGTTGCTGAGAGGATGAATAGAACCCTATTAGAAAAGGTTATATGTTTGTTTTTTACATCTGGCCTACCTAAAACCTTTTGGGGGGAAGCCTTAAACATTGCTACATACTTAGTCAATAAGAGTCCCTCAAGTGCCATAGAATTTATGTGCCCTGAAGAAAAGTGGTCAAGCAGGAAACCCAACTTAAGTCACTTAAGGGTTTTTGGATGTGCAGCATATGCTCACACCATTGATGGAAAATTAGATCCAAGATCATTAAGGTGTGTGTTTCTAAGTTATCAAGAGGGAACCAAGGGGTATAGGTTATGGGAGAGGAGTGCACCTGGAGTGAGGATTATAATTAGTAGGGATGTAATATTCAATGAGAATATTTTTCCTTGCAAATCTATTGATAATGGTGTAGGTACCTCAAGCAGTATCCCTATAAGTCAAGAACCACCTGAGAATGTTCAAATTGAGTTGGAGCCTCTAATAACCCAACCTGAACAAGAAGATCCAGGAACTAAAATTGTCACACCAGATCTGAATCTTGACTATGAAGAGGAACATGTTGAAAATCCTAAGGTTTCTCAACATGATTCACTAGCCCAATACCAACTGGCCCGAGACAGAATTAGAAGAGAGATCAGGCCACCAACAAAGTTCTCTTATGCTGAGCTCATATACACAGCCTTGGTGGTTGGGGCTGAATTGCAAAGGGCAGAACCTGTCACCTATGAAGAGGCAATCAGATCCAAGGACAGAAGCAAATGGCAGACTGCAATGGAGGAGGAAATGCATTCCCTAAAGGTAAATGGAACTTGGTCATTGGTCCAAATCCCAAACACCAGAAACTAATTGAGTGTTAATGGTTATTCAAGGTAAAAGAAGGTATATCTCTCTCTGATCCTCTTAGATATAAGGCAAGATTGGTAGTCAAAGGCTACAGACAAAGGGAAGGAATATATTTTAATGAAATATTTTCTCCTGTTGTGAAATATAAGACCATAGGACTTATGTTGTCTGTTGTTGCATGCCATGATTTAGAAGTAGAACAACTTGATGTTAAAACTGCATTTTTACATGGAAATTTAGAAGAAAAAATCTACATGAGGCAGCCTGTTGGTTTTGTAGATAAAAGACTTCCAAATCATGTATGTTTGCTACACAAGTCCTTATATGGTTTAAAACAGTCCCCTAGGCAATGATACAAAAGATTTGATGCTTTTATCATGAGTATTGGTTTTAATAGGAGTCAATATGATAATTGTTTCTATTATGCCTTAAATGATAACATGCCTTTGTATCTTCTTTTGTATGTGGATGATATGCTTCTAATTAGCAAGTCTAAGTCTAAAATAGATGAATTAAAGAAAAAACTCAATTCTGAGTTTGATATGAAGGACTTAGGGTGTGCTAAAAGGATTTTAGGGATGGTTATAACTAGAAACAGAAAGTGTAATGGGCTGAAAATACATCAAAGTGCTTATTTGCAAAAACTGGTTTCTAAATTTGGTATGGCTGAGTCTAAGAGTGCAAATCTGCCTTTAGCTGGTCATTTTATGCTGAGTAAGTCTCAATGTCCTAAATCTGATTTTGATTTGTTAAAAATGGAAAATGTTCCTTATGCTAATGTAATAGGATCAGTTATGTATGCTATGATAAGGTTAAGACCTGACCTTGCTTTTGCCATCTCACTACTGAGTAGGTTCATGTCTAACCCAGGGTTAGAACATTGGTCTGCCCTAAAATGGTTGTTGAAGTATATAAATTGTACAACTCATGTTGGTTTAGAATATTCTAAAAGATATGAGTCACTTAATCTTGTGGGTTTTGTAGACTTTGATTTTGCAGGTGACAAGGATTCAAGGAAGTCAACTACTTCCTATTTCTTCACTTTGGCTGGAAATTGTGTGAGTTGGAAGTCCCAACTCCAACCTATTGTGGCATTGTCTTCGACAGAAGCTGAACATGTGGCATTGGCAAAAGTATTCAAGGAAGCATTGTGGCTGCAGGGACTTCTAACGGAGGTGAAATTAATAGATGGGGCAATGACTATATTTTGTGATAGTCATAGTGCAATACATCTAAGTAAAAATCTAGTCTACCATGATAAGACCAAGCACATGGACGTGAGGTTTCATTTTGTCAGGGATTTAGTGGCGCAAGGAGTGATAAATCTGAAGAAGATAGCAACAGAGGATAATCCAGCAAATATGGGGATAAAGATGGTGACACCTGCCAAGTTCAAGCAGTGCTTGAACATGTTGTTTGTAAATTAGAGCAACAACTAAGCTATGAAGAGAACTTGGAAGGGTTAGCTGCACTAATGAGATTCTGGAGTTGATGAGTTTTGAGCTTCAAGGTGGAGATTGTTAAATGAAGCTCAAAATGGTGGCATTTTGAGGAATTAGAAGTTTTAATCTTGGCCTTTGCTTGTTAAAGAAATCTAACGACTGCCATTTGTCCAAGACAGTCAAAGCTATAAAAGACATCAAAAATTCCAGATTTGCATCTTTTCTCCAGCTTTCTCTTTACGATCAAAAATGGTACTTTACAAGGGTTTCTAATTGAGTCTAATTTTCTTGTAATCAGTTTTAAATTTCTGTAATCTTGAGTTGAAGGTCGAGCTTCCTTCAAGGGTAGAGAATCTAGGTTGTGATTTCTCTTTTGATTAAATGTTATAGTTAGAATTTGGGGATTGATTGAGTGTGTAAAGATTTAGAGTTGATTTGTTCTTGTAATCGTAAACTTCTAATCTCTTAGTACAATGAGCCCCAAAAGTTCTTGGATCTCAATGTGGATATAGCTTATTTCCAATTTTGGAATAAGTGAACCACGGTAAAATCTTTGATGTTCTTCATTGTGCATTCTTGCTTATTTGGTGTGTGATTTAGATTCTTTGAAATGTGTTTGATGTTTGTTTTGGTAGATTGAGTTCTGATTTTTAGCATAACAATTTGTTTGATATATGATTCAAATAACAGATTTTAAGATAAAAATTAATGCAACTTAAACTCAATTATCTCATTTACATATAAGAAAGCATTGTCATTTAGGAAGAAAAGCTTTTTCTTCTTTACAAATTACTTAATACACAAGCACAAACATATTTACATGAAGCTCAAAATCCAGAGAAAACACCAAAAGCTGATTAATTATTTATTGAATTTGAACATCAATGACCTTGCGTTCTACTTTCGTCTTAGGAATGTTTATATAGAGAACACCATTCTTCAGCTCCGCCTTGATCTTATCTTTCTCACAATTATCAGGAAGTTGAAGACGAGTATCGTAACTACTAACGCTTCTGCTCAACCACGAATCCTCTCCATCGCCGCCTTCCTCTGTCTTGCGCTCTCCTTTTATCAAAAGCACATCATCCTCCACGGAGATTTTCACATCTTCCTTCGAGAGTCCTGGCATGTCGAACCGCATCTTGATCTCGTCTTCCTCGTCCTTAATGTCCCAAGGCGCTCTCACCTCCCCTCCAGTCCGGTTCCTGCTGCCGGGGAGTGTCATGGCGTCCTCGAATAGACGGTCCATTGTATCCAACATTTGACGCATTGTCCTCATTGGAGATAAAGGATCCAGCAAACCTTCATGCACCAAAAATTTAAGAAAATTAGACCAACAAGATTTGAGAAAATTATAAATTGCCAATTTGAGTTTGAGCTAACATTTATTTAATGATGGATATGTGGTTGCTTGACCATCTGTATAGTTAACAAGATCACTCTTATTTTTATTTTGATACAAAAAGAAATTTGTTTCTAATAATTCAATTTATCACTTTAGTTTCAAATATCAAGAAAAAAAATTAGAATTTAACTAAAAGTTTAAAATTTAAATTACTAGTAAAGTAAATTGAGAAATCGGAAAAAGTATAATACGATCCTTTAAAACCAAGTCTTAAACCTAAAGTTGTGCTTTCTTTTTTTATTCAAAACATATTTTTATTTATTTATTATTATTATTTTTTTAAATTTGATTTAAAGCCAGAATGTTTGATATTAGTAGAGAATGAGAGAAGAACAAAAAGCTGAATGATGGTAATTTTTTTTTCTTTATCTCGTAAAATTTGTTGGAGACTAATTCTAACATTTAAAGTTGTCCAATTCAAATAAAATCATACATTTCATTATAAAACATTTTTGTCCCAAAAGTTGTGGCAAATTAAAGCTGAAACTTACCAAAAGGTGAAATATCTACGGCCAGTCTACGGGGCCGCCTCTCCACAGAAGACGTCCCTTGGTTTCCTTGATTAACATGCACGTCCACAGCACTATCCTTGCCGTCCCCAGCGGCCTCAGCCCTAACAATAGGCAACCGAGACGGCCTCCTCGACGGTAAAGCAACCCGGCACGGCGCTGAGTTATTTCTTGTTAAAATTTTGGGGTTGGTTGAGAGGAAAGGTGAGGCAGAAATAGACAGTGTTGAAGCCATTAATTAATTTATCAATGATACAAAACACACTCAATCTGGTGTAGTTAAGTTTAGATGGTTCTGAATCAACAAGGGTAGAAGCATATTTATAGATATGTGAAAAGAAAGTTGGGGAAGTTTGAAGAGAAATCTTGAAGGTTTTGATTTGAGTGTGAAATTTCTGGACCTACGTTTTGCTTTCTACTATTTTCTCGTTCTTTCGGGAAAACTCTCTACAGGCATTCATTTATCACATCTGGGTGGGGACAAATGAATGTCTTTGCAAGTAGGTCCTTGTATTTTATGTTATTTTTTATATTTAACATAAGGTCTTCCAAGTGTACCATCACATTTTTCTAGATTCTCTTGAATCGCATCATCTCCCATTTACCTAAATCTGTGAAGGGAAGAAGAACAAGATCATAGGGTAAATAACATGTTGGTCCCTATATTTTTGGTCCTTGAGGGATAGATTTATTATTCATCCACAAAATCATTCTTCAAGTTGAAAGACGTAGTGTGAAATTAACTTTCAAAGACACATTCGACTTACTTAACAAATTAAAAACCTTTTAAAATATAAAAACAACCCGACAATTTTAAAAAATACAAGAAGAGTCAACATAATATCCTCACTAACCAAAACTTTTTAAAATATAAAAAAGTTGATTATCATATAGTTTTCTTAAGGTTTCTAAATTTATCATCTGGATTATAATATTCACATTTTTTTATGAAATGGACTCTCAAAATTTGAAAACTAACTAATACCCTTTTGCCTAACTTTGTTATGTTATGGTAAGTGCTAGAAGGATAAAATGGTAACTCTAATCTTATAAAAAAGTGATGGGGTAAAATGGTAACTTTGATTTTCTAAGAAAGGGTTTTACAAGTTTATTGACAATGCAACCGAGTTAGGGTAAAGGGTATCAGTAATAAAAATTTTAAACTTTGAGGGTCTATTAAGTTAAAAGGGTATTCAATGTACAATTTTGAAACTTTAAGGGTTTATTAAAACAGTGTAAAAGCTTATCTTCCGGTTGATAAATTTAAAAACCTGGCTATGATATTTTGTCGAAATTAAAATTAAAAAATGAGAACAAAGAAATTAAAAAAAAAAAAAATAAATAAATAAAAGAGGGAAAATTTGCAAGCCCACACGTCACACATAACTTCCAAATTAATAACCTTTTTTTCCCCCCTTATCCAACCCCTTGAAAGATCGTAAAGTATAGCAGACCCATGATTTATGAAAAGTATTATTAAATAACCCCTAGCTGTCAATTAAATGTTAGGTTTGATCCAAATAATTTTTTAATATTCAATTTTAAAATAAGAAAGTCTATTTTACCCTTATACACCCATTATCAAATTAAAATATTAATTTATTTTCCCTTTTTTTTTCTTTCATTTTCTCTTATATCTTCTCAAGGAAAATCCCCCCTCTAAAATTTTCTGCATTCCTCTTTACAATTTTTTTCTTAAATCTCGTCTCTAAACAAACAATTTAACCCAAAAACAAAACAAAATATATATTTGCACAAACAATTAACTAAAATGCAAAATCAATTGAAACTCATTAAAACAAATTCAATTAAACAAAATCATAAGGGAGACAAGTCCACCCCCGGCACGATCCCTGGTACGGAGCAGCACCACGAGGCACACATCTATACATCTCCTGTTGCGGCCAGCCACCGTAACTAATGCTTGGCCATTTTAATTCTTAGATCCAAAAATAAAAAGATTTAAGGAAGAGGAAGAAGAGAGGGGAGAGAAAGAAGAGGGAGAGAAAAAAAAAATTAGAAAAGCAATAGTAAAGGAAAAAGATAAAAAAAAAAAATTAGGTTTTTATTTTCTCACATACGAAAACGGAGAGAAGATTGAGGGAGAAGAAGAAGAGAAGGAAAATAAAGAGAAAAGAGAGAATGGAAAAAAAATATTTAAGGGAAAAAGAATAGAAAAAATTAATATATGAAACAAGAATGTCCTTCAACTGTTAGATATAATTGACAATAGGGGCCTATCAAATACTTTTCGCAAATCATGATTCTGCTTAGTACATTACAATCTCTCGAGGGAAGGATAATGGTACCCGCCTTCGTGGGCCAAGTTGCAACAGTTACTGATGCTAATGCCACCAACGGCCAATTAGCAACTGTTGGGCCTAGAACACGTTGGGGCTGCCGCAGCCAGGACCAAGTAGCGGCTACCGAGCAAGGGGCCATCATCCATCTCAACTGAATACAAAGATGTACCGAAACTCATAAAAAGTACACTTTGAATGAAAAAAACTTAAAAAAAAAAAAAAAAAAAAACTTAGGAATCTAAGACATTAACAAAATATATTTTTTTATCAAACAATTTAATTATAGAAATTGTATAAAAAAATATAAATATAATTCTAATATTAATTAAAAAAATGAAATAAAAATCCAAAGCAATGTGGACAATTAACCCTAAAAGATAAAGAGAACGATAAGTAATTTTGTATTCAAACTTATTTGTCTTAGGTCAATAAGACATAAAATTGCTAGTGGCTAACAAATAACAATACCTTTAGAGTCCAGTGAATGAATCAAATGGAACAAATAAAATCGGTGAAAAGACCCCTAATCTTCTCCTAAGACCTCATCATCCTTCTTACATTAACTAATTTTCTTCCATCGAGTGTTCAGGTCGTAGCCTCAAATTCAATCTTAACTTCCTTTATGCAATTCTGCCAACATGAGACAAAAAGGGACTGGCAGCAATCAGGAGTCTGTCCTTCGTAAATAAGCTGCTTCTTATATGAGAACTGAAACAATTAATTAACCAATCTTTGTTATACAAAAAGAAGGGGGAAAATCTCAGCATTTAATGATCGAAGTAAACAAAAGACCCTTATCAAAGTCAGCAAAGACCTAATTCAAAATTCTAGCTTCAAATATGTTAACAAGGTAAGTTCAATAATTTATTACATGAATTAAGTTGACAATCGCATCAATAAGCCCTAAAGTACATTTTGTTGATTGTCTAATGACAAATACTCTGAAAAATCAAAATCTTCAACATTATAGAAAATTGGGTAGCGATATTCTATAAATACATGGTTTTCTCTAGTAATTGCAATGAATATCTACACCTTAGAATATATATATATATAGTTCTTCTCCAATGTAAACATCTTGAAATTTTTTAATATATGGATCAAAAGTGAGAATCTAGTCACTCACTTCAAAAACCCTACAATCAAAAGTGAGCGACTACGTGCTCACTTTTGGTCCGATGTTAAAAATTTAAGGACCGCATTGAAAATTTTTCATATATATATATAGAAAATTCTTCAAAAACTACAAGTAGAATAAAATTCACAAAAAGAAAAAGATTAAATCTTTTGAAAACCTAATGCAATAGTAAAATGGTGAATATCCGATAGGAAGAGCTCAATATAAAGAAAAGCACACTGAACAATGGTTTTCAAAGGATAAAATACACTACAGAAAATAAACTACGCTTAACTATTACTTCCCAAGAAATATATTTTAACTTCTAAAAATAACTTACTATTAATCAATTAGTTATTGCTCCTCAAGCAAGATCTTGAATCTACCTAAAAGTGTGCTAATTTTGTTGAATTTTCAAAATGATATCATATTAATGACTCCTTACTTGGACAAAAAATGATGATACAACTAACTCCCGAGTGACTTAGTCAGGATATCTGCCCTTTGCTCACCACTAGGAACATATTTTGTTTGAAGTACACCAGCTTGAATCTTCTCCCGAACAATATGACAATCAATGTCAATATGATTGGTACATTCATAAAACATCAGATTAAAAGCAATATGCAAGGCTGATTGGTTATCATAAAAAAGAGGGACATGAAAAGAAAGAGGGTACCCAAGTTCCGAAAGCAAATGTACCAACCAAACAATTTCACAGATAGCAGAGGCCATGACCCTGTATTCAGCCTTTAAAGAAGATCAAGACACTGTGACTTGCTTCTTAGACTTCCAAGATATAATTAACTTTCCCAAGAACACACAAAAACCAGTAACCGACCTCCTTGTTAGTAAACAAGAAACCCAATCTGAATCACAATAAGCATTAAGTTGGACAGAATTTTCAGAGGAAAAAATAAGCCTAAACCAAGAGCATTTTTTATGTATTTGACAATCTTCAAGGCTGCTTGCATATGAGACATTTTAGGAGCATGCATAAACTAACTTAACATATTGATTGAATAGCTCAAATTTGGACATGTCATGCAAAAGTAGAGAAGTTTACCTATAAGCTGTTGATAAGGGGCAGCATCAGGTAACAAGGAATCTCTCGAACTGCCAAATTGGTTATCATAATCTGATGATGTAAACTTTACATGTTGATCAAGAGGGATAAGGGAAGGTCAGGTGCTAGCTAAACCAGTAATGGATATCAACTCCAAGGCATATTTGCGTTGACAAATAGAAATGCCCTTATTAGATCTTGCCACCTCTAAACCAAGAAAGTATCTTAGTAGCCCCAAGTCTTTAAGTTTGAAATGTGAGTGAAGTAATAGCTTAGTTTTAGCTATCAAGGCTGAACTACTACTTGTGAGGACTATATCATCAACATAAACTAGAATAGCCACCATTTGATTACCATCCTTCTTTACAAATAAGGAATAACCTGATTTGGATTGAGAGAAGCCACCTTGAACCAAGGCAGAAGTAAGCTTGAAATTCCAAGCCCTAGAGGCTTGTTTTAAACCATATAAAGACTTGGTAAGCTTGCATACAATATGCTGTCCAAAGGGCTTAGGAAAACCTTGAGGTAAGGTCATGTAAATTTCCTTTGTTAAGTCTCCTTGCAAGAAAGTATTATCAACATCAAGATGATATAAGGGCCAATTGTTAATGGAAGCCAAAGACAAGATATTCTTGACGGTTACCATTTTAATAGGAGAGGAAAATGTTTCCTTATAATCAATCCCTACTTGTTGTGTGTAATCCTTTGCCACTAACATAGCCTTATACCTCTCCAAGGTTCCATCGGCATTAAATTTCAGCTTATACACCCATTTACATCCAATTGGATGTTTAACAGGAGGCAAGGGAACCAATGACCAGGTATGATTATCTTCTAAAGCTTTTATCTCTTTTGACATAGCCTCAACCCATTTAGGATCTTTGGAAGCTTGGGAGAAACTGAGAGGTTCAGTTAAGGAAGAAATTTTGCTA